AAAAGAGGAGGCAGGCTGCAAGCTTTATGCTTCTAATCATACAAATTCAAATTACGACCTCTCAACCCCATCATACACAATCATCCAATGATTGAATTCAGGCACAAAGTATAAATAGAAAGAGAAAGGCATCAATACAGCTGACATTGTATCTATAGAATCTCTAATCAGACAGCCACATCTGTAGAGTAATGGAGTCGGATGTACAATTATCAAACATGAGACAAAAAGATACTTGACCAATAACTCGCAAATCTTCTTGAAAAATGGCCAAATAATATCGCCCAAATTTCCAGATAATCCACCATAAAAATTACTTTAAATTACTGTTACTGTCAAAGGGAAGAGGGTTTAACCGCATCAAAGCTCAGTGCTACATAGGAAATTATTGTTATAAATCTGAAAATACTACGGGAAATCAACCAATTTTTCAAACGAAAAAGATTGCATAAGCTCCTAGTCAATTTTTCTTCACATTTGTAACTCCAATCGAGGGCAATAATTTTATCCAACTTCCACAATTCGCGCTTTTCAGTGATCTCTTACCTCAGGAGCAATAGAAGAAGCAATATGATCAACAAAACTGAAATTTACACGAAACGCAGGTTACACGACAGGATTTGACCCAAAATTTACTATGAATACTCGGATGAATTTTAGGTAGAAAAAGTGATCGGAAAGAGTTTCCGCACATGATAATATATGGGCGGATACGCGGTGACGAACTCTAATTTTGGTACTTATATGCAGCCTAATGACTAAACAAAAACTGGCTAGATAAATGAGTTTATAACTAGAATACATGGATCTCGAAACCTATATAGCCCATCAGGAGTCGAGAGAAAGCCCAAATAGGCCCCAACATAAGAAAATGGATGCGAGATAAGTATGTCATACAAAGTAGTAAAACATAAAAATAACATTTTACGTAGCCAACAATTTACATATATATATGTACATAGATTAATCTGTCATAACCTGACTTTGATGAGCAATTCGTCCACGAGCCGCTCTTCTGATGACCTTGAACCGGTTTGACCTTCAGAATTCCTGCAAAACACGTTGGGAGTGATCAGGGACGGATCCAGAAATTAAGAGTAGACTGGGCTAGAATTTCAAATACTCATTTTTATAAAAATTACATAATATTTTTTCATCAAATATTTGAACTGATCAACCATTCAAAAATAACAACAAATAAATTATCTACCAAAACCAAAAGTGCAAAATCTAAAAAAAAAATCCACTATAAGGCCATAACAAACAAGATTACAAGAAATGAGAAATCATCCAAATTTCTCTTTTCCTCTACAGAAAATCCCCCGAGCAGTCAAGGACTAAATCATGGATCCTACACACTAATTAAACCTCATTACACCATTTTTTTTCTCCCTTTGCAAGCAAGTGTCACATGAACTTAATAAGACAACTAATCCAACAAAATAGAAA